GTCACATTTTGGTAATTCTACCAATATTTCAAACTTTTTCATTAGTATTATAATTGTTAATGGTGGCTCGGGGCCTCCCTATTCCCTAAGACACAACAATATTGAAATTAGGCCGATTAATAACCCTACAATGGCCTGTAAGTGTTCAAGTGAAAGGAAGAGTCACATGTCTTTTAACTTTAAATCAAAAGCTAGAAATGATTTTGCTTAGTGAGAAAGGCATGTTGAAAACCGAGATAGGTCGAAAGCTAGGCCTCTTGTGCTAAACAGTTGTGAATGCAAAGAAAAAGTTCTTGAAGGAAATTAAAAGTGCTACTCCAGTGAACACATGATAAAGCAAAACAGCCTCATTGCTGATGTGGAGAAAGTTTTAGAGGTCTAGATGGAAGATCAAGCCAGCCACAACATTCCCTTAAGCCAAAGCCTAATCCAGAGCAAGGCCCTAACTCTCTTCAATTCTATGAAGGCTGAGAGAGGTGAGGAAGCTGCAGAAGAACAGTTTGAAGTAAGCAGAGGTTGGTTGATGAGATTTAAGGAAAGAAGCCATCTTCATAACATAAAAGTACAAGGTAAAATAGCCAGTGCTGATGTAGAAGCTGCAACAAGTTATCCAAAGATCTAGCTAAGATAATTAATGAAGGTGGCTACACTAAACAGATTTTCAATGTGAATGAAACAGCCTTATATTGGAAGAAGTTACCATCTAGGACTTCCATAGCTAGAGAGAGAAGTCAATGTCTGTCTTCAAAGGACAGGCTGACTGTTATTAGCAGTTAATGCAGCTGGTGATGTTAATTTGAAGCCAGTGCTCATTTATCATTCCCAAAATCCTGGGGCTCCTTAAGAATTATGCTAAATTGACTCTGCCTGTGTTCTACAAAAGGAATGCAGCTTGGATGACAGCACATCTATTTACAGCATGATTTACTGAATATTTTAAGCCCACTTTTGAGACCCATTGTTCATAAAAAAAATATTCCTTTCAAAATATTACTGCTCACTGACAATGCACCTGGTTACCCAAGAGCCCTGATGGAGATGTGCAATGAGGTGAATGTTGTTTTCATGCCTCCTAACATAACATCCATTCTGCAGCACACGGGTCAAGGAGTAATTTCAACTTTCAAGTCTTATTATTTAAGAAACGCATTTCATAAGGCTGTGGCTGCCATAGGTAGTAATTTCTCTGTTGGATCTGGGCAAAGGAAATTGAAAACCTGGAAAGGAGTCAGTATTCTAGATTCCATTAAGAATATTTGTGATTCATAGGAAGAGGTCAAAATAGCAACAGTAATAGAAGTTGGGAAGGAGTTGATTCCAACCCTCGTGGATGACTTTGAGGGGTTCAAGACTCTAGTGGAGAAAGTAAGTACAGATGTGATGGAAACACCAAGAGAACTAGAATTATGAGTGGAACCTGAAGATGTGACTGAACTGCTGCATCTCAGGATAAAATTGAATGGATGAGGAGGTGTTTCTTATGATAAGAAAAAAAAAACGTGGTTTATTGAGATGGAATGTACTCCCAGTAAAGATGCTATGAAGATTGTTGAAATGACAACAATGGATTTAGAACATTACATAAATTTAGTTGATAAAGCAGTGGCAGGACTTGAGAGAACCAACTTCAATTTTGAAAGAAGCTCTGTGGGTAAAATGCTATCCAACAGCATCGCATGCGACAGAGAAATTGTTCGTGAAAGGAAGACTCAACTGATGCAGCAAACTTTATTGTTCTATTTTAAGAAATTGCCACAGCCACCCCAACCTTAAGCAACTATCACCCTGATGAGTCATCTGCCATCAACATTGAAGCAAGACCCTCTATCAGCAAAAAAATTATGAGTCATTGAAGGCCAGATGATAGTTAGCACTTTTTAGCTATAAAGCACTTTTGATTAAGATATGTACACTGTTTTTTAGATATAATGCCATCGCATATTTAATAGAACTGCAATATAGTTAAAAATAACTTTTATATGCACTAGGAAACCAAAAAATTCATCTGACTCCCTTTATTGTGATATTCAGTTTATTGTGGTGGTCTGGAACTGGACACACAATATCTCTGAGGTACGCCTGTATCTCTCACTGCTTATAGAAAAACAAACCAAAAAAAACCCTAGATAGGATGGAAGACTAAAGAAAATGGGCTTTGCACCACTCACCATCATCTTATACTGCCTTCTAACTAGCACGAGTGAGAGCTTTATAGACAAATACTGGGAAGCTGAGATATGGTGTCTTCATAGACCAGCCATGGGCAGGAGGCTTTGGGCACTGAGACACCTCGTGGTACGCAATGGGGCCTGGTTTAAGTGCCTCGTAAACTACCTGTAGTCTGGGCCCGTTCCGACACTGTTTCTGAAGCCATGGAAAATGCCACTTTCAGTAGCATAGGACTCATTAACTAATCCTGCCCTATGGGGCAGTAGTTAGGTCTAATATTTCCTTTCAGTTTGTGGTTTTTGGTGCAGTACCACTTTGAAAGATAACAGTTGGCAGCCAAGCATCTGGAAACAGCAGATTACCTTGCCCGTTCTCTTGTGACCTACTGGTTTCTCTCATTGTCTTCTGGACTCTGTGTTCTGTTATTTATTCATCTCTGTACTTGGCACGCCTTATGATAGCAGCCAACATTTACTAACCACCATATTCTAATCACTGCCCTGAGCCTTTTACTCATTCAGGCTTCACATCATCCTTAGGACTTAAGAACTATTATCGCTATATCCCTATCCCAAACAGAGAGGTTAACTGACTTGCACAAGGTCACACAGCGGATAATAAGTAGCAAAGCCAGAAAAAAATCTATGCATTCTGGAATCAGAATGTGCATGGTTAAGCCACTCCCACTGTAGGCACTACTATCAGCCTAATCCTTCAGGAAGCTAGGTGGTTAAAGATGAAACTAAAAAGTAGCTTTTCTGAGACCCATTCTTGACTGTTATGGTTTCCCAAACTGTAGAATAAACACCAAGCTGTATGGAACCCATTTCCTTACCTATTTGTTTATGTAGAAACACTTATTTTTCCCCAGTTCTACTGAAGCCAGGAGTTGGAGGTTAACTTATTACTCATAGTCTCCTACCCTGGCTATTTCAATGTCTTGAGGATAATGGGCTAAAGTTAGGGGTTCTCAGAAAGCATACATGCCATTTTTTTTTTAAAGATTTTTATTGGGGAATTAGGGGGATGGGAACAGTGCTGGGGAATTGGGGGAAGGGGAACAGACAAGTTGCTGTCGTTTTGTTCTTCAGTCTAGTTGTGGAGGGCGTTGCTTTACTGGCCCAAGTTGGCACCATCATTGCGCTCTTCCCGGGCGAGGCACATCAGTCACCGGCTTCTGGACGGTCGCTCACTGCGGCTGCTGGCCGCTCATGCTGGCTGCTGGCTACACACGGTAGCCCATGGCAACCCACTGCCACAGGGGCTGCAGCCTACGCCGTTGCCGGCGACTCACAGCTTCCCAGCTCCAGGTTGAGCTGTTGTTCAGCATCTTAGCTGTGGAGGGCAGTGTCACTGGCCCTCATATGTGGGATCCGAACCGGGGCCCTCTGGCGTCCCAAGCCAGTTCTTTACTATTGCGCCACTCGGCCGGCCCATACATGCCATTTTTGAAGGCACTCACATTCAACCTTGAAATCTGGATTTTAGAGAACAAAAGCTTCCTAGTGGGGATTCCAGCTGTCTGAGGAGGAGTGCTTCTCCAGCAGTCTTTATCTAGATGAAGTTGCTCATATTGGGGTCCAGAATTTAGGACTTCTACTTTTCTGAAAGCTGCTCACTTTCTGAAAGTCACTGAGTCAGGCTCTGAGACTGAGACTTAAGACAGGAACACTGTCTTGATAAATAAATAGACCATGTTGTGGCCAGTTGTAGAAGAGAGTTAGGCAAAGACTAAGCATCTTACATATTGTCTGGTCAAGGGTAGGGAAGGCTGCCCGGAAGGTTTTCTGGTAAAAGGTGGTCCCAAGAGCTTCAAAGTCAAGTAGTATTCGTACACTAACCCAATATTTGATAATTCTCTACTTGGCACTGGAGATACAGTGGGGAATAAAACTGTCTTCAAGGAGATTATTAGAAAAGGGAGAAGACAGACAAATATAATACATAAAAATGTCAAGTAGGGCCTGCCAAGTGGTGCGATGGTTAAGAACTGGCTTGGGACGCCAGAGGGCCCCGGTTCGGATCCCACATATGAGAGCCAGTGACACTGCCCTCCACAGCTAAGATGCTGAACAACAGCTCAACCTGGAGCTGCGCTGCCATGAGTCGCTGGTGACGGCGTAGGCTGCAGCCTCTGTGGCAGTGGGTTGCCATGGGCTACCGTGTGTAGCCAAGCAGCCAGCGTGAGTGGCCAGCAGCCGCAGTGAGCAGCCGTCCAGAAGCCGGCGACTCATGTGCCTCGCCCGGGAAGAGCGTGATGATGGTGCCAACTTGGGCCAGTGAAGCAACATCCTCCACAACTAGACTGAAGAACAAAACAACAGCAACTTGTCTATTCCCCTTCCCCAATTCCCCAGCGCTGTTCCCATCCCCCCAATTCCCCAATAAAAATCTTTAAAAAAAAAATGTCAAGTAGTTGTAAGTGCTCTGAAGAGAAATAAGACAAAGTAAAGGAATAGAGAGCAAATAGGGAGCAGTGTGCTACTTTAGATAAAGTGATCACCTCTCAAAGAAGTGATATTTGAGCAGGTCTGAGCTGAGTAAGTTGGAGCATTAACCCAAATTGATCCAGCATCCAAGCAGGAGAATCCATTCTCTCAGACTACTCCCAGGGCAGGATGGTCTTGCCATTCTGTTTTGCCTAACTTTGGAGTCCAGAGTTGTAATGACCAGTGCTGCTCTCTATGACAGCCCGTAGATGGTAGTGAAATAGCCAGCAGGAAGGCTCAGGGCACAGTGCTCTTGGGGCACTTAGATGTTTGTGCCAAGGGAGATGGTTCACCTTGGTGTTTCCATCCCACTCACAGTGCTTTCTCCTTTCTTTTTTTCAGTTTGAAGGATGACCTCTAGGAAGAAAGTATTGCTGAAGGTTATCATCCTGGGAGATTCTGGGTAAGTGTTTCTCATAAATTTTAGCTAACAAATTGGCTTGGATTTAGACTTCACCTCCTTGGAACCTATGTCCTCTGTGCTGACATTTGTCACTTCCTTCTCTAATGGCGTTGGCATTAGGGCCCTAGGTCTCCCTGCTGTTTGGAACACAGCAGAAATATAAATTATTTCTTACTATGTAACCCTTTGTTCCCTGATTTTTGGCATGATTTGGGGAAAAGGTGGCTATTGGAACTCAACTAATAGTAGTTTCATGAAATCACTTTTTTCCAAGCTAGTTAGATCTAGGGAGTCCTGTTTATGTAGATTGTTGCCACTGGCATTGTGCCTACCAGATGTGGATTTGGAGTACATTGTGCAGTATTCTCCTCTTGCTATGCCTGATTCGGGCCTGTCTTTGAAAGAGCCTGGTATTGGAGAACTGGCTCTAATCTGAGATCTGTGACAAACCAAGTAGCTAACTCTTTAGTAGCTGTTAAGATTCTGTGGGAGGCTTTTTTAGACTTGGCTTCTTAAGTGACCTATAAAAGCTTAGACCTACTGGAGGCTGCATATTTAAAATAATCATAACAAAATCAGGGTTTTAAAAAAATAAAAAATCTTATTCCAAAGTTCCCGCCCTTCCTTTAAAAAAGGCAGCAATTTTCCTACCCTGCTGAGTTTTTTAATCACCTTAAGGAGCCAGTTAGCATTTGCCTAGACCAGCGGGGTAGTACTTAAACTCAACTCTTCTCTTCTCCTCCCTTCTCCTCCCCTCCCCTCCCCTCTTCTCTCCTCTCCTCCCCTCTTCTGTCTGTTTTCCCACACACCCACTCCCCTGGTAATTCTGACATTGTGTCAGGATTAAAAGGTTGTTACCGCTTTTAGGCCTGTGTTACCCAGATTTGCCTGAAAAGAATCACCAAGCCCTTGTTCGATTATAGATTTCCCAATCTACCCTGGAAATTCTGATTCAGGTGTCCTGGGTTGGAGAACACTGCCTTAGGCTGTATCTGTACTTGGAGGTCCTCTGTGTATGAAAATGAATGTGTTCTTTTGTGAGAAAGTAAGGTGATGTTACTGGCCATGAGGAAGCCTTTTGCATTATCATCAGCCTGTCCTAACCTCATCACCAGAGAAACCACACATTGTTTCTTGCTGAATTTTCTTACTGAAGGAGCATACTTTGAGGTAGATTCTCATTTGTTGAAATATTGGTGCCTTTTCTGCTTCAGATTTGAAACTGAAGGAGCAGGTTGGCGGCTGTCTCTTTCTGTTACTTTCTTGGACTAAATAGTAACTACTAAATGGAGAGACACCTAAGGCAGCAGATACATTTTTGGAACAGTGAAGCAATCTTATTGCTGAAGCTTCTTTTAGAAGGAGAGTATTTCCTGGCATTCCCTGGAAGGAAAAAGAAAAAGTTCTATCGTTTGAGTTTCCTATACCAAAACTTACAAGCAGTTTTTAACATCTGGCCTCCATCTATCTGTACCCTGTATTTTTATCCCAGGAGAAAGTACAACCTCAAATGAGTAATGCTGGTAGTTTGCTGGCTGCCCTCTGTTGTGAGGGCACCTCCTTCTTCTTCACAACAGGCAGGTTCCTTCAAGAGCTGCAAGTGTCAGAATCAGTTTTCACTTCCTTCCTAATTGATTTATATTCATGGTTCTTCTCCAATTTCAGAGTTGGTAAGACATCACTCATGAACCAGTATGTGAACAAGAAATTCAGTAATCAATATAAAGCCACAATAGGAGCAGACTTTCTGACAAAGGAGGTGATGGTGGATGACAGACTAGTAACAATGCAGGTAAGCACACGTCTGAACTTGGCCAACCAAGCCTTGTTAGTTCATTCAGTCTTAAATCTTTTTTCATGCCCATGCATTTTCCCTCCCTATTCTTCAAATCCCACTGGATAATTGGCTACAGTTAGAATTGCCAGATAAAATACAAGACATCAAGTATGTCCCAAATATAGCACAAGACATACTAAAAATTTAACTGGACTTTCTGTTTTTGATTGTTGGTTTTAGTTTTTGTTTGCTTGTTTGTTTTTAAGTTTTTATTGGGGAAGGGGAACAGTGTTGGGGAATTGGGGAAGAGGAACAACCAAGCTGTTGTCCTTCAGTCTTAGTTGTGGAGGGTGCAGCTAGCTCAGCTCCCAAGGCCCGTCTCCATCCGGCCACCCGTCGGCAGCTCAGGGCAGCTCAGTTCAAGGTGCTGTGTTCAATCTTAGTTGCAGGTGGACGTAGCCCACCATCCCATGTGGGAGTTGAACCAGAGACCTTGTTGCACACACTGACCTAAGAGCACACACTGTAACCACTGAGCCATCCGGCCACCCAGCGGCAGCTCAGGGCAGCTCAGCTCAAAGTGCCATGCTCAATCTTAGTTGCATGTGGGCATAGCCCACCATCCCACGCAGGAGGAGTCAACTGGCAGCCTTGTTGTAGTTGTTAGGAGCATGTGTTCTCACCAGCTGAGCCATCCTGCCACCTGTTGGCAGCTTAGCGGCAGCTCAGCTCAGGTGCAGCTTACTGGCCCATCTGGAAATCAAACTGGTGACCCTGTTGCTCAGAGCTCGCGCTCTTAACCAACTGAGCCACTCGGCTGGCCCTGGTTTGGGTGTTTTTGTCTTTTACTTCATTTGTCAACCTACAGATCCCTGTCTTATGTCTCCAAAATGTCTAATTCATCCCTTAATATCCTGGCCTAGTGCTTTGGCTCGAAAAAAAACCTGTGTCTCTCCTAGGTTCTCACAGTAGACATTAAAATAGTTTTCTCTGTTTTCCTGGCTCCTTTTTTTTTTTTTTAATTGGGGAATTGGGGGATGGGAACAGTGCCGGGGAATTGGGAGAAGGGGAACAGACAAGTTGCTCTAGTTTTTGTTCTTCAGTCTAGTTGTGGAGGATGTTGCTTCACTGGCCCAAGTTGGCACCATCATTGTGCTCTTCCCAGGTGAGGCAGATCAGTTGCCGGCTTCTGGATAGCCGCTCACTGCGGCTGCTGTCCGCTCACGCTGGCTGCTGGCTACACACCGTAGCCTAAGGCAACCCACTGCAGCAGGGGCTACAGCCTACGCCATCGCCAGTGACTCACAGCAGCCCAGCTCCAGGTTGAGCTGTTGTTCAGCATCTTAGCTGTGGAGGACAGTGTCACTGGCCCACATATGTGGGATCCGAACTGGGGCCCTCTGATGTCCCAAGCCAGCTCTTAACCAGTGCGCCACTCACCCAGCCCTCCTGGCTCCTTTTAATATATCCTACCTGTAGCCACCAAAGTTGTGTTTCTATTAAGCCAGTATGGTTTTTTCATGTATCAGTGCTTAATCTTTCATGGGCTTCCCTTTCAACAGTTTGGATAAAATACAGATTTCTCTATGTGGCTTTTTGAAAGTCATCACATTCTAGCTACAAAATATTCTTCACTTCTGCCAGTTCTACCAAATCATGTGCTACTCTTAAAAAACCTGTCTTTGCACGTGACTCTGCTTCCAGTGAGGCCCCTTTGTCACATATGCATTTGTCCTGAAGTGTCTCCAACTTTTAATCCAAATGTTGTGTTTTGAAACATCTACCTCCATAGCAGTTGTTCCTGTTTATATTAAAATAACGTCCCTGGGTGACTACGCCTCTAGAGACAAATACAATTTTTATCACTTTGTAGTATGAGCAAACACCAGACTCACTGAAATGTTTGAATACTACAGGTTACAGGTATAAGTTTTTACATGTGTCAGTCTTGAGCTGTGACATCCCCCAGAGGATGATTCTTAATACTTCCTTGACTCACACATCCAGAACAGAGCTAATACGGATTTCCCTTCCTCACTTCCCCCACACAGGCACATGGAGATATTCAAAATATTACTAATGAGGCCAAGTTTGAGAACAGAAATTTCCATATTACAGAAAAGAAGAGGGAACTGAAAGCTAGTGATAAGCTCAGGGGCTCCTGCCATGGTGATTTGCAAATTTATAGCCTGGACTATAGAGTTTTATCAGTCATCAGAAATAAAGAGATGTGACTGCACAAGGTGGAGGAGCTAGTACTAAGAATCCCTTTAGACACACATACACATGGACACTTGCCTAGGACCTTGGAAAGATGTGAAGACGGACCACATACCTCAACCAAAGGAAGTGGCAAAGCTTGTGTGTGAAGTATAAGCTTGGGGCTTTGCCTCCTAGTTAGAGAATCTCAGTCCACTACGCTCATGTGTGGATTCTGAGTGTACACTCTGCACACAAACCTTTACCTGGAAGAATTTAACATAAATCCCCGTCACTCCTGGCAAAAACAAAGATTAAGACTACTTTTTAGGGACACTTATAACCTCTGGACAGAATATGAGCTCATCGCCACATGAGGAAATAATGTACCACAAAGAATGTTCACAATGACTAGAGACTTGAAAAAGGAATAGAAACCATAATGAAAAGGGATACTATAAAAATGAGGATATGGAAAACTTAGAACTTTAAGAAGTGAAAAAGTCATTGAAATAAACTAAATGAACAGTTAAACTGCAGATTAAACACAGATGAAGAAAACAGTAACTGCAAGAGCCAAGCAAATTACCTCAAAGAAAACTAAACCTGCAGAATACCAAAAAGCAAAATCATAAAAGCAACTAGAGAGAAAAGACAGATTGCTTATAAAGAAATAATAGATGGATGAGTTCTCAGCAGCAGCAGAAGGGAATGGAATACCTTCAAGGTGCTGGGGTAAAGTACCACCTGAAGATTTTACATGTGTACCAACTAGATTAAAAATTGCTTCCTATACCAGGAGAAACAGACCTGTAGAACCAAGCTATGGTTTTGATCGTCATGTGGGCTGATTCAGAAGTCAGATCCTAGCCGCCCCTAGGTTGGGGACATTATACTAGAGCCCCCCACACACTACTAAGCTGGGATCCTGGAGTGTTGCACTTCTGGAGTGAGCACTATTGAAGAACCACAGGGCACCGAGTGGAGTCTGGAAAGAGTGGGAATGAGAATAGGTTACTGAGAGGTTGAAGCAAAAGGCTGGCCTTGTGCTTCTGCAACCAATTTAAAAGACTAAAAGTAAATGAAAACCCATCATCTCTGCAAATGTCCATTAACAGATGACTCGGTAAACAAAACTTGTTTTATCTGGTTGTCGGTAGTTTTGCTGCAAGCATCTTTACTATAAGTATTTTTGCCAGAAGCATTTGTTGCCACAAAAATAATTGGCCACATTTAATCAGCAGGTGACCAAAGGTTAAGCTTCTTAAATCACTCAGTTATACTTTCTTGACAATTGTGTTTCCATGTAAAAGCCATTTTCATTAAGGTGCAGGGGTGCAAGTTTGTACACACTATCAAGCACATGTTTGGTTGTTATAACGTCAGAATTCAAGGCTGTCATTGTTTTAGGAAATACATGCTTTAGTTTTCTTTTTAATTCCTGCAAAATTATTTTATTTTGTTTCATCTATCCAGTGTGCTATTACTTGTCCTAAGTTTTCTAATGCATGATTAAAATTATTAGATTAAAAGAAGAAAACCCATCATCTCTGGACAAAGCTACCGTCACCCTAGAACTTGTAATTTCCAAACTAGTATAAGGAAGCTAGTATAAGGAAATGAGGAAAAAATTCCAAACTAGTGTAATTTAAGTGGGGGAAGATTAGTGACTGTTGTGGGTTTTTAAAATTTTCTTACATTGTTCTGGAAGAAGCTAGAAATCAATCAGTATTAAACATTAGATGGAGTCAAGTATGCATGAAAAATTTAAAGGTAACTTATGAAGCCATAGTAATTTAAATGGTGTGATATTGTCACAGGGATAAACAGATCAAGGGAACAGAGGGCACAAAAACAGGGCACACCTAGGTAGACACTGGATAGAGAGCTGACTTAGAAGAAGACTAGGGGATGGAGGAGTTAACAGTAAACAAGACTGGGCTAGTGGCTTTCCATGTAGGCGAGGAGTAGCCAGACGGTTCAAGACCTGAATGGCAAAAGTACAAAATGGAAACTTGAAAAATGGAAATAGAGAGGTTTGGGCTGGCCGAGTGGCGCGTTGGTTAAGAGCTGGCTTGGGACGCCAGCTCTGAGCAGCAGGGCCCTGGTTCGGATCCCATATGAGGGCCAGTGACACTGCCCTCTACAGCTAAGATGGTGAACAACGGCTCGACCTGGAGCTGGCCTGTCATTATGAGTTGCCAGCGACGGCATAGGCTGCAGCCCCTGCTGCAGTGGGCTGCCATAGGCTACCGTGGTTGGGCAACAGCCAGCAAAAGCGGCCAGCAGCCATCGTGAGCTGCCAAGAGCCACTATGAGCAGCTGTCCAGAGGCTGGCGACCGATCTGCCTCATTTGGGAAGATTGCAATGATAATGCCAACATGGGCCAGTGAAGCAACGTCCTCCACAACTAGACTAAAGAACAAAAAGACAGCAACTTGTCTGTTCCCCTTCCCCGATTCCCCAACGCTGTTCCCCTCCCTCAATTCCCCAATAAAATCTTTTTTTAAAAAAGAAAGAAAATAGAGAGGTTTTATTACCTTCGGCTTTTAAAGTAGAGAAAGTACAAATCATAAAAGGTTAAAGATTGATAGTAAACCACATTAAATTACACATCTGAATAACAAGATTCCCAAATAACAAAAACAAACCATAGACCAAGAAAAAAATTGATGATGCATAATAGTATCCAATCGACAGACAACCTAGTGGATAATTTGGCAAAGACGTCAACAGGCAACTCTCAAAAGAAACCTTAACGTTCAGTGGCTTGACTTCAGGCAATTACAAATTTAAAAGGCTGACTGGACAGGCTAGTGCCACCTCAGCTCAGGCCAGTAATCGAACCGGCGACCCTCGTTTCAGCACTTGTATGCCATACGCAGACATTCATGACAGCCTCCTAATTCCATTCCTGCAATCAGGGCCATCTCCACAGCCAATAGGACATGTCCTATTTTAGAAAGGTTCTTCCTAGAGTGAGTAGTGTATATATTGGTTGGAGTTGCCTGGGAATGGAGTGGGCTGCCAAGATCAGGCTCCCTGCTACCCGAGGTGTAGCCGACAGTCACGTCGACCACATTGTCATGTACTACTGATTGTGGAGGGCCACACACATCAGAGGAAAAGGCTGAGATGTGCTTCTCAGAGCTGCCCTCATAGGAGCAACCCCTGGGCTCCTGGGAATTATTATTCAACAGAAAACTGAGGTGTGCTATCTGTCCAGGACTAATACTGGTAACCACGGTAGCCTCTTCCAACATGCCATCTATTTGCCTGGGATATTTTTGGCTGATCTGTGAATGAGAGCTCAGCTTGTGTAGTCATGTTTCTTTATTGAAGCTTCTCTAAAGGGTTTTAGTACTGCCATTTCCAGCCTTCTAGATAATATTTAAGTTCTGGCTCTGCTCCTGTTTTGTCACTGTGTCATTTGAGCCTGTTGCCAAGAATAAACCGTCTGGAATTGCATATTATGTTTTAGGACTTCTTTTGGAGAATGTATTGGGAGCTATTGTGTTTAGAACATCATAAACTTTGTTTACCTTGGAAAGAAATGCAGATCCTATAATACTGTCCTGTCCTACTTTTTTGCCTTTGTGCATATTTACTTATTCTAACCAAGTATCATACCCTCATTTTATGTAATGAGGCTCCTCCTATCTGAACTGGGAGCTTAATCTGTGACCTGCGTGCAGTTGACATGTTCCCCAAGTGTTCTGAATTAACAGGGAGACAGGACTGACTACCTTAGAAGGCCTTCACAGAAGAGCTCAACCGTCCTTCTGCAAAATTGGGTTCTGGATATAAACCTCTAGTGGCCCAGTTTGTACTCCATTTTGGTTCGAACCCTGGGCCTTTGGGAGAATTGGCTTGTGATTTGGACATAAAGTTGGAATTTATTTAGGTTATGAGAATGGTCCAAGTTTTCATATTCTGAAGCTTAGTGGTTTTCCTGCAAACAAACAGTAGATCCATCAGTTGAAGACTCATGTCAGCTGGAAGTAACTGCATGATCTTTTAGACCCAGGCACTCTCTTAAACCAGGTGGCTGGCTTGGGGGTGTGGGACCATTCCTCAGAACACTAGTCATCTCTCCAGGCTGACCAGGAGGGCCCTGTTAGGGACCTAGGGCAGTGAGGAAATTCAACCTAGCATGGCAAGAAATGATGTGAAGTGCTTTGAGCTGGTCACGAGTACCTGGTGTTCTTTTGATTAAAAGCTGACTTTCATCTGTGCTCTAGAATGTGCTCTCTCTTTTCCTTTATCTCTCTGTCAGGGTTTTTTCTTTGTTTTTTAATTGAGGTATAATATAAATAAAACATACTGATTTTTTTAGGTAAACTAAAAATTTTTTAGGTAAAATGCATAGATTTATATATACAATTCAGTAAGTAATGACCCCCAGAAAGTTCCCAGAATACATAAATGTTAAGTTTATAGTGTGAATTTTATTTATTTATTTATTTTTTAAAGATTTTTTATTGGGGAATTGGGGGGATGGGAACAGTGCTGGGGAATTGGGGGAAGGGGAACAGACAAGTTGCTGTTGTTTTGTTCTTCAGTCTAGTTGTGGAGGACGTTGCTTCACTGGCCCAAGTTGGCACCATCATTGCGCTCTTCCCGGGCGAGGCACATCAGTCGCCAGCTTCTGGATGGCCGCTCACTGCGGCTGCTGGCCGCTCACACTGGCTGCTGGCTACATATGGTAGCCCATGGCAACCCACTGCCACAGGGGCTGCAGCCTACGCTGTCGCTGGCAACTCACAGCAGCCCAGCTCCAGGTTGAGCTGTTGTTGAGCATCTTAGCTGTGGAGGGCAGTGTCACTGGCTCTCATATATGGGATCCGAACCGGGGCCCGCTGGCGTCCCAAGCCAGTTCTTAACCATCGCGCCACTCTGCCGGCCCGATAGTGTGAATTTTAAATAAATATCTACCACTGTGACCACCACATGGATCAAGTTAAAAAATGTTTGTAGCACCCCAGAGTTCAAACTCATTGTCACCCCTCATAGACACATGCACTCACTAATGCCTTATTTGTCAGGGCTGTTTTGTATACAGTGGTGATGAAACCTGTTTCCTGAATTCTGAATTCACTTGTCTCTGGTGGCCCCATAATTCGTCCCATTTCATCTGGCATCCTGCCACTCCCAGTCCTCTGGCCCCAAAGAATAAATGTTTTGTCTCTCACAGATCTGGGACACAGCAGGACAGGAACGATTCCAGTCTCTTGGTGTAGCCTTCTACAGAGGCGCAGACTGCTGCGTTCTGGTATTTGACGTGACTGCCCCCAACACGTTCAAAACCCTTGATAGTTGGAGAGATGAGTTTCTCATCCAGGCCAGTCCTCGGGATCCTGAAAACTTTCCCTTCGTGGTTTTAGGAAACAAGATTGACCTCGAAAACAGACAAGTAAGTGCTAAAAGATGTTGGGAATCATAAATGTGGAGGCTTATGAACCTACCCTTGTGTAGGTTATGGCTACTGAATCATAGAAAGGGCCTTCTTTTAAAAGTGACAGCTAAGTTTGGGATGACAAGTGCTGTTTTTAGCTTTGATTGGTATAAAGCCACATGCCTCAAGGATCAATACCCAGTACCCAGTATGGCTTGTGCCCCCATGGTAGGGGAAGAGGAAGGGATAGCTAACAAGTTACCTGCCCAGCCCTTGGAATGGGGCTCTGCTCTCTGGTAAAGGCATACCATCTTGGCTTTCCCATGTGACAAAACAGGGACAGTGAAGTCTGCAGTGGTGTTCTCTTTGAAGTCATGCCAGCAAAGCAACAAGTCCATTCCGTGAAGCTGCCTGTACTAGCCACTCCCCTTGGTCCATCCATCCCAGTGAAATGATTTGACTTAAGGCTGTATGGTATTCTGCATTTGATCTTTTGAATTTAAAGGCAAAATTGAATTCAAAACTTGGCTCATACACTCTTAATTTGGGACTATTTCTTAAAATCGGAGTCTTCACTCATTTAACAGGAACACTCTGGAATTAGATAACAATACACGTGAAAGCCCTGGCATCCAGAAGGAGATTGGGAAATGGTGACTTTCTAGTTGTCCCATTGCTATTTTCGTCTCCTACTAGAGACACCTGTTTCTAAGGTGCCATGTAAATTTGAAGCATTCTGTGCTGAGCCCAGAATAGCTCTAGAAGGTGCATGTGGGAGTGTGAACTACCTTCAGGTCAGCTGCCTTTGAGGACCAGTGCCCAGGAGACCTGGTTTAAATGCCCATGCTTTCCCCAGCTGAATGTGACTTTGGGCCATTTCCTTTTCCCTCTGAGCTTGGGTTTCCTTTCTTCACTTGAAAAGAGGGAATTAAATTTTGTCGTTCTCAAGTGTTTTCCCAATGCCTCAAGGACCTGTCTCGATCTTCACGGGTGTAGAAGATTGAGCTTTGAGTAAAACTGTTCTGGTTTACTTTCGAAAAGCATTTCTCTTGGGAACACAGACTCTTTCTTAATTATATACGTAGGTTTATTTCTGACCATTGGTCTTTTTTTCTCCATATCCTAAATGACTGAAAATGGGCTGAGGTGGAGGAAGGAATTAGGATATGAGAGGCAAGGGTGGTGTGGAGAGCTGCAGAATTCTGTGGCACTTGGGTGTGTGGCACAGGTGATGTAAAATTAGTAGTGGGGAAGGAACTGCAAACCTTAAGATCAAGCTGTCAGGCATTTCCTGTAGTCATTTATTCCTCTGAAGCCTCAGGAGAGACCATTCATTTCTTTCTGGTCTGGCTTCTTATTCCCTTCACAAGCTGCTTTTATGTATTAGCTGAGTCTAAGGCTGTGGAATGAAGACAGAATGGGCTTTGGGTTTTATTCCTAGCTATATTACCATATTTCCCCATGTATAAGATGCACCCTTTTTCGAAAAATTTGGGGTCTAAAAACTGGGTGCATCTTATACAGTGGTTGTATGAGCGCAAAAAAACAAGTGCGAAAAAAGCGGGAAATGCAAGTAAAAATCTACAACCACTGTATAAGATGCACCCAGTTTTTAGACCCAAAATTTTTCAAAAAAGGATGTGTCTTATACATGGGGAAATATGGTATATGTAGCAAGCAGGGTGATCTTAGACAGGTCTGTAGGTCTCTCTCCCTCCCCACCCACCTTCATTCCTGAAATCTGCTAATTCAACTGTAGACTAGGGACAAAGATCCTTCCTGGGAAGGATTGAGTCAGTGCTAGCTGCTTCTATTATGAGCACACATGCACCCTGCTTCCTCTTCCAGGTGGCCACGAAGCGAGCACAGGCCTGGTGCTACAGCAAAAACAACATTCCCTACTTTGAGACCAGTGCCAAGGAGGCCATCAACGTGGAGCAGGCGTTCCAGACAATTGCACGGAATGCACTTAAACAGGTGGGTCTCCAGCAGCTATCTGGCTCCCTCTGGTGATTGACCATTGACCCAGCCTCTGCCTGGCTTACTTGTTCTTAATCTTTCTTAACTGACTTTTCTGTGTAGCCAGAAAATCGTGTATGTTTATCTGGTAAGGTAACTACACATTCTGGTAAAGCTTCTGGAAATTCCACTTGTTTGTGAATAACCTAAACGAAGCAGGAGCAGTGACAACTTCAGCTGAGGCTACCCTTGTTTAACTGGGCATGTTAACATCTTACTCTCTTGGCATGCTATTAGGACATCAGGCCTCTAGGAGGCCCCTGGTCAGATTGCTCCTGTTGATGGAGGGGATAAACTTAAATTTACATCCTAGCTCTGCTACCCATCATTAGATGTAGTTTTTTATCTTATACAAGCTTCCATCCCCTCATCTGTAAAATGAGAATACTGACTTTGCATGGTGGTTGTGCAGATTAAATGAGATACTTGTCATTCTCATATATGGTTATATTTGACCACCAGAAAGGTTAACCAGAAGCTCTAGGAATTATATTCCTTGAATAAAATTGTCCTGCATTTTCTTTCTTGTGTTGTTTACTCAATACTTCACAGAAAAAAAAGGTACTTTTGTTGGCATGTGGGAGTTGGAGGCATTTTTGATTTAACAGTTCTGTTAGGGCCAGTGAGTTAAGGCAAGTCATGAGGCATTGTCAGTGGTCTGTGGTAGTCAGACACGGGGATGGGTGTCAGAGGTGAGATGCACATCAGAAATGCAGAAAACATTTGCAGGAGCACATAGTGGTTGTAAAGGGCCAGGTGGGTTCTGTTAGCTCCAGATAACAATATAGAAGGCAGTGGTTCTCAGCAGGGCAGGGCAGGGCATCTGGACCTGTGGGCAGGGAGATATTTGGAATGGGTTGTTCCAAGGACTGGGGCTGCACTGAGTTTTCCATAATGAAAAGGGACAGCCCTACCCAGTAAAGAATTGGTTCACCCAAAATGCCAGGAGAGTCCCCACTGAGAGACATTGATACAGTGAGAAGGAACTGACCAGGATGCAGAATTAAGGCCCTTTGTGTCCCTCTTTCTCCCTACCTTTAACCCACCCTCACACCTACATTAATAACCTAGTGTGTTTTTCCAAATGTTCATAGAATTGCATGCAAATCTAAATATGTAGGGGGAGTTGTTTTCCACCAGTTCCCTGCCATGACTGTTGGAGTTTTTCTCTCCAGATATTGCTGTCCCTATAGCCTTATTATAATGCTTTTATTTCTACAAGCTAGCCTTCCAGGAGTGTGATTATTAAATTGAAAGGTATGTGTATTTTTTTTCCAAAGGAGGACTTTTTTTTTTAAATATTTTTAAAAGGTATGTGTATTTTTAAGAAAGAGTACCTGATCGCTTTTCGCAAGGTTCCCACCAGCAATGCAAGTTTTTTTTTTTCTTACCTCCCTAACAATGAGTGGTAGGCATCATCTGTAACTCCGCTGACACTGCCAATCTTTGGGTTTTCTCTACTGCAGGTAACCAGAACATAAGCACTTGCCTGGGCACCTGTCAGTTCTCAGGAGCTCTTTGTGAATGGAAATTAACTTTACCTGTATTACAAGTTTTTTTTCCAACTCTGCTGTTTAGATAGATAGATAGATAGATAGATAGATAGATAGATAGATAGATAGATAGATAGATATTCTTTGGCCATAGAAAAAAAGTAATTTTTTAGTCGGGTATGTCATTTTAAATTTCTGGGTTTCCTATGTCTAAATTACATGTTGTCTAATTCAGCTGGAATTTATTTTGGCTTATGGCAGGAAATAGGGACTCACCTTTTTTGTTTAGAGGGATAACCAATTATTTCAGATATTAGGACCTAGTTGTTAAATAAACCATTTTCCCCACTGGGTTAAACATTACCTTTGTTATAGTAAATGTTTGTATCTATTGGGATCTATTTCTGGTCTCCCCGGTCTGTTCTGGCGACTTACACTTGAGTATCCTGCCTGGACCATCTTGATTTTACTGCCTTTATAGTATGATCTGACTTCTGATGAAGCAAATCTCCCTCTCCTCTCACTGTTTATATATGTATATTTTTTTTATTGGCTATTTTGGTGCAGTTTCCATTTAGACTTAAGACTAAAAAATTTTATTTTAGTCCCACCTTTTTCCTTCCTCACCCTCACCAAAAATAAAACCTTGAGATTCTGATTGGAATTGCATTATAGTTACTGTATCACTATGCTCTGGGTGCCATAAAATACCACAGACTGGGTAGCTTAAACACAGAAGTTTATTTTGTCTCAGTTCTAAAGGCCAGAAGTCCATAATCAGGGTGCCAGCCAATTCATTTTCCCTTCCTCACTTGCAGACTTCTGCCTTCTCCCTGTGTCCTCGTGGCCTTTCCCCTGTGGGAACATGCAGAAGGTGTGGGGGAAGGAGAGAAAAAGAGAAGCTGCTAGCTCTCTGGTGTTTCTTCTTAAAAGGACATACGAATCCTATCAGATCAGGGCCCCATCCTTATGACCTCATTTTAACCTTAATTACTTTCTTAATCCAAATATCATCACATTGGGGGTTGGAACATCAACATACAAATTTTGGAGGGATACAAACATTCAGTCCATTACAACTATTATTTTAGGTCTTCTGTTACATCCTTCAATAAGATTTTATAATTTTTCAGATCCTTTGCCTTTCATATTAAATGTATTCCTAGGTGCTGGTGGGAATGTAAAATGGTGCAGCCACTTTGGAAAACAGGCAGTTTCTCATAAAGTTAAACATAAGAGTTACCATATGACCCAACAATTCTACTAAGTATATACCCAAGAGAAATGAAAATATGTTTACAGAAAACTTTACATGAATGTTCACAACATTCATAATAGCCAAAAAGTAGAAACAACCCAAACAAACATCCATCAAATGAAATGTCCAAAATAGGCAAATCTGTTAAGACAGAAAGTAGATAAGTGGTTACCAAGGGCTGGGGGTGTCAGATAGGGATGGGAAGCTAATTTTTTAAAATATGTATTCCTAGAGGTTTTTACCCTTTTAAAAAAATTATTTTTTCAATTACAGTTGACTTTCAGTATTATTTTATATTAGTTTCAGGTGTGCAGCATATTGGTGAGACATTTATATAATTTATGCAGTGACCCCCCCAATTAGTCTAGTACCCACCTGGCACTATACATAGTTGCAACATTATTGACTATAGTTCCTATGCTGTACTTTACATCCCTGTGACTATTTTATAGCTACCAATTTGTATTTCTTAATCCCTTCACTTTTTTCACCCAGTTCCCCAACCCCTCTCGCCTCTGGCAATCATCCCAGTGTTCTCTGTATTTTTTTAATCTGTTTCTGTTTTGTTTGTTCATTTATTTTGTTTTTTAGAGTCTACATATAAATGAGATCACATGGTATTTGTCCTTCTGTCTGATTTATTTCACTTAGCATAATACCCTCTAGGTCCATCCATGTTGTTGCAGAGGTTTTCACTTTTATATATAGCTATTGTGAATGGAATATTTCCTAGAGAACTTTTAATGAATAGAAACATTGTCTGCTTTATCTCCAAATCCTAGAACAGTGCCCAACACACAGGTACTCAGTGTTTAAATGACAAATTGTTTTACTACACCAGGAAGTAGAAACCTGCTCCTCACTGGGAAAATGTTAATTCAGCAAAAGTCCCACTAAACTGACCACTGTCCATCTCCTGTGATCTCTCACCACAGATGATGATAAAATTCATCCACAGCTGGTTTCTAAGCAGCATTTGGAAACAAAACTCTCCTAAACCTTTTGAAGAAAAATAAAATAGACCCTAAATCCAGAAAAATTAGTGGCAAGTAGGGAACTTGAGGAAAGTTTTGAGACTGAGGGACAGCTGGCACTCACCTTTAGCACATTGTTTGCCTTGTTGAAATGCTGACTAAGAGTTGCCAAAAATCCAGGCCATATAAAGTATGACATCTTTTTAAGTGTTGGTGATTATATGGACCATACTGAAGCATCTGTGAGGTGGCTATGGTCCTCAAGCCACCAGATTGCGATCTGATTTAGAGAATGAATCAGCTTCTGTCCTGACTGCTCAGTGTCAATTGCTGCTATTCCTGCTGAACTTCTCTCTTCACTTTGTCCTGAAATTATTGCAAAACCTGTCTTCTTCTTGCTTGGCCTTTGAGGGTTAAGTGCCTTCTGCCAGAGTGCTTCCTTCACTGCTAGGTCTGTGCCTGCTCCCTACCCACTGTGCCCAGGTGCAAGTGTGCTACTAAGGGTCAGACCTGAACACAGGAAGTCCCCCTGTGCCCTGAGTGACAGCCCTTTTTCTCTCTCTCTCTCTCTCTCCCTGCCCAGGAAACGGAGGTGGAGCTGTACAATGAATTTCCTGAACCGATCAAACTGGACAAGAATGACCGGGCCAAAGCCTCAGCAGAAAGCTGCAGTTGCTGAATGAGCAGTGAGAGCAGAGCACAGAGTCCTTCACAAACCAAGAACACACTTAGGCCTTCCAACACAAACCCCCCTCTCCTCTTCTAAAAAAAAAACACATAACGTGATTTCTCTGGACCAGTTGCCAAAAGAAATCCCACCAAACACACTCACCCCCCCACCATACAACACACACACACACCTGACACAAGCCCAGGCAGACTCCAGCCCAGGCCTGTGCTGGCTCCATCAGAGTCTGCCCATCCACCACATCAGCCCTTGTATGGCCACAGGATGGGCCAGCTTTAGACATCATTCTGACATAGAGTTGGCATCAGAAGCTTATTTTTATCCACCAGGGAGAGAGAACTGTTTACAGTTAACTTGTGTCTAATTAGTTATCTGATTTTTTTTAATGGTCTTGTGTCTTTTTACCCCATCCCCAACCCCCTCCTATGAAGGCTACCACTTGGGAAGGCTGGTGCCCCATGCTTCATTACAGGCTCACACCCAGTGTGATCAAGCTGAGTTTTGTATGTATCTGTTAATGCTTGTTACTTTTAACTAATCAGATCTTTTTACAGTATCCATTTATTATGTAATGCTTCTTAGAAAAGAATCTTATAGTACATGTTAATATATGCAACCAATTAAAAATGTATAAATTAGTGTAAGAAATTCTTGGATTATGTGTTTAAGTCCTGTAATGCAGGAGTGTAGGATGGAGGGTTGAACCCTGTCTGGATGGCAGAGTGTTAGCAACTCAGAATTCAGAAACCCAGCTAGAGGCAGTATTCTGTACAGTAGACACAAGAATTATGTACGCCTTTTATCAAAGACTTAAGAGCCAAAAAACCTTTCATCTCTCCAGGGGGAAAACTGCCTGTTTCCTTCTGTATCTAAATTTCCAAAAGGTTGATTTGCATAATACAGTGGTGTGTGTAGTAGATAAATGGCTGTTAAAATTCTCATTCCCACCCCCTTTTTTTTTCCTCCTCCACACTTTGAAACTCCCCTATTAGATCAACATTCTACTTATAAGAGGAAAAGGAATATCCTAACAGATCTGTCTTAGTGATTTTACCTTTGTTCTAGAAGGCTCTCCTTTTCAGGGTTGTGGTATCCTTAGGTTAGCAAACCTTTTTCTCCTTTTCCCCACTGACTCCCCAATATTGCCCATTATTAATTAACCTGTTTCTTTGGTATGGAATCCTGGAAGTTCTGCCCCCTCTCTAAGATCTGCTCCTGCACTATAGCTTGCTTAACAGAGTACTTCCCCCTTTTCCAAAGGTCTACATTCTAGGGTGTGGGCCAAGTTCTTCTGTAAAGAGATGAACGTGATGCCAATAAAATGTAACAAGAGCAAAGATCATCTGCCTTCGCACTGTCGTTTTTCCTTCCATACTATTGGCTCAGTAAACACCGTGTTAGCTAATCATAACCAATGCTTTATCAAGCAAAAGAGCCTTCCATAACTGGGCACATGGTGGTTCTTGGAGGTAGAAAGCCCTTCTCATATCCAGCCCTTGCAGTACCTGTTCCTAGTTTGTTTTCTGTTTTTTGCCTTTTTAATCACAGTATTGAAGGGATGAGGACCTTGAGTGAAGAACACATTGTCCCTTTAGAAGAGCAACCACAAACTGCTAGTGACCTATGGACCACCCACAGCCTATGAGTATAACTTAGCCTTTGTGTTCTATTGTTTTTTTAATTGGCCTAGTTGCTGGTACTCAGATATTACATAGTTCTGGATTTCTGATTTTTCATAGGAGAGGAAGATTTGGCAGCAGGGGCCTTGTATTCCAGCATATTTAACCCACCAACTGGAACTGACTAGATGCCACCTAGAACCAATTTTATAAAATACTGGGTTGTCGGAAAAGTCATTACATATTTTTTTCTATGTTTTTCATTGCAAAAATGAGTCATGACTTTTCCGACAAGCCAATAGTAGTGTTTCAGTCAGTGTGTTGGGTATAGGTTTTGCAGAAGTGCTCTGTTGACTTGGCTCTTGGATTCTACTTTGTTATTCTTTTCTATATTTCCACTTCTAAGGCTCTTCAGTTGGTTACTTTTTTTGTGCCTGGTCTTGGCTCATACTTCATACATTAAAAATAGCATTCTTAGACGCTCATGACTACAGTTCCACCCTGGCTAGTGGTGCACGGCTTTAATCTTCTCTGGTCCCACTCCCTGAACTGGGCCTAATTGGTGTTGTGTGTGGCTTCTAGAGAAGCAGAGTCCTCTCCAGCTTGGGACCCAGTGACTGGGCCATGGTTTATGGACCCTGTGTGATGCTCACCTCTACAAACCAGGCTGTTGTTCCTCTCTGATCATGTTCCTCTGGTCCTAACCTTGACCGTGACGTGAAAATGGACCTTGACCTCTTGATCTCAACCATCATCCTAAAACTGATGATCTTCCTAACATTAATCTGCTTTATCTTGAGATAAGCTTGAATGTAACCTTATAAGTGGTCCTGATCCCAGTCATAGCTCACCCTAATTTTAAACTTGATCTTAAACTGACCTTGACTCTGATCCTAAACATAGCCCCCTTGAAATGACCTTAAATCTGACTCTAACCATAATTCTGACTTTGAAGTTAACATTGAACCCTACTTTGACAAACTTACTCTCCAACCTGAGACTAACCAGTCTAATATCCCATCAGCACAAGGTCTGGCAGATCCTGATTTCATTGTGTATATGTAAATTGTATACATACACACACTGTTCATCTAAATTTGATTTATCCACAGTAAGAAATAATGGCTCAGACTGAACTCTGCACTAATATAGTATCTTTTTCCATATTCTTAGATTCACCATAAGCATGAGCTTTTGAGAGAAACAAGGCCTTTTCCTTCAACAAGCAATAAGGATTTTTTTCATTAATACTCCTTAGTTGTTTTTTTTTAATTTGCCCTGCCTCCCATCCCAGTAAGAATGTGAATTGACATGAATGTGTGTTGCTGTGTTTACATTCATCTCAGTTTGTTTGCTCTAACAATAAGTTACTTTTGAGAAGAATGGGGATGAATTTGTTGCACTAATACAGATTCGTTTCAGTAGTACTCCTTAGTTTAATCCATACTCTCTCTTACAGTATGAATGTGAAATACAATACTGCTGTGCTTACTTTCATCTCACATTACTCTAAGCTGTGAGGAGTCCAGGACAGAGTTTGTTGCACTAACAGGAAGAATTCTTAATCCAAACCCCATTCAGATTGATCCTGATTTTCCTTACCTCTCAGTAAGAATGTGTCTTTGAGATTAATGAGTTGTATTGCTCATGTTTATGTTAGTTAACACTAACCAGCTGTAAGATTTTCCCTTTGAGAAGAATGTCTGAGACTGAGCTTGTTTACACTAATAATGGTACTTTCCAATAACACTAATTAGACTCATGCTAATTTACCCTACTCACAGTAAGAATGTGCCATAGAGATAATGTATGTAGCATTGCTTATGGCCACTTCAATTTACACTAACATGTAATTTACAGTTACATGAATTGAATGATTGAGACTGAGCTTGCTTACACTAAACGGATTCTTTTCATTACCACTAATTAGACTCACTTTAATTGCCTCAAACTCTCAATAAGATTTTGCTGTTGAGGTGAATGTATATTGCTGAGTTTATTTATCTTGTTTCACTAAACCCAGACCCTGATGCTCAGCCAGATATCACTCTAAAAACCCAAGATTTTGCCCCCAGTCTGACCTTGAACATGGAACTTGACCTTGATGATCAACTTCTTACCTTCTTCATGATCCTGAAGGTCTTCCTGGACCTCACATTGACTTTGACACCTCCTGGCCTTGAAATGATCTTAAAACTCATTCTGACCTTGTCTGACTTTGAACTTGTCCCTGGATGACCCTCATCTGGATTTTGACCATATCTTCTAATTTTAAGTTGACCTTGTACTTTACCTCAAACTGGATCTTGACCATGAACCTGATCTCAACCCATGGCTTTGAATGACCTCGAACTGGATCTTATCAACTGACCCTGATCAGTTACCCTGTGAATATCATGTTCCTCATGAATTGCCCTATTTTGAGCTTAACCTGAACTTGCTCCTAAATGATACACTAATGTTCATCACAATCTTGGAATAAACTTCACCTTAAAATTGACCTTCAGTCTGTTGCTGACATGTTAACCAAGATCAATGCTGAACTTACCCTTGTATTTGATTAGCTTGAAGTTGGCCTTAAAATAGACCCTTATACTGACCCTGATCATCCTGCCAGTGTCTCACACTGAGTCACTAATTTTAACCTTGAACTACTTGACCCCAGTCTTGTCCTTCATACACTGGTTATCCTGATGATTATCCCCTTGAAGTGACCTTAAATTAACTTTGAAATTGACCTGAAAGCTGACCTTGATCACTAGTGTTCTGACCATGTCTTGGCCCTTTTTTAAAAACTTGAACTTGATCGTGAATGTTACTTCACATTGATCAAGAACCTTGCATACTGACAATCACCCTGACCTTAAACCTCTCTGAACTTGAAATCACCATGAACTTGACCTCAAATTTGAAAGTGATTTCAATCAGCATCCTGAATTGGCCCTAATTCTGACCCTTGTTCTTACCATATCCATCATTCTTACCATATTTTGTCCTCATTTTTAAGTCCTTTAAACTGACCTTGACTGTAATACTAAACTCAAACACTGACACTCATGTTTTTCATGACCTTCCACCTCAATCTAAAACATCCTGATCGTTGTCCTGGACATGTTATGCACTAAGTTTATACTTGATCTTGAATCTCTCATCCTGTCACTGATGATAGTTTTGATTTTTGAGCTACCTTGAACATAAAATAACTTTGACCCTAGACCAAATCCTTAGTCTTCTTCAGGTGTTTCACTTCATCCTCACCCAGATGCCAAGCAGCATCCTGACTATCTTTTTCTAAGTTTTTTTGTTTTGTTTTGTTTTTTTAGCTGAGCCATCCTGCCACCTGTTGGCAGCTCAGCGGCTGCTCAGCTTGGGCTCGGCATCAAACCGCTGTTGCTCAGAACTCAAACTCTTGAGCAAGCTCTTAACCAACTGAGCCACTTGGCCGGCCTTCTTTTTGTAAGTTTTGACTTGACCTTAAACCTGACCTTAATTCTTACCATGACTCTCTTCCTAACACTAACAACCTTTCTTACCTTGAGCCATCCTGACATTGAAGTGAATTTGAATTTGAGTTTTTTCTTGAATCTGACTCTAATTCTGACCCTGAACATCATTATGACTGTCTTGCTTTCATTTTGAACCTGTCCTTGAACATGCTGTACATACACACCTTGACAATGACAATCTTCCTGACCATTCTCAGCCTGACTTTGCAGGAATCTTACCTTATACTGATCCTGCTGCTGTATTGAAAATGACCCATTTTGACCTTGAACTTATACTGACCCTAATGTTAACAATCCTTTGGTCGCAGACCATTATTCATTCTTCGACCCACCCCACCTATGAAATGATCTTATCCTTAAAATTGACCTTAATATTAATACTCTTACCTTTATAATGAATCTAATGATAATTGACCAGAACTGCTGCAAGTTGAATTCAATCGTAAAGCCAACTGTGATCCTGATCAGAATGTGCCCTTCTAGAGGCCTTTTCCTGATCCTGCTACCTCTACATCTATCATCTACTATCATCTCCCAATCCCATTTAGTTTGTCCTCATTGGCTTTTCTCTTAGATAAGTCCTGTATTGGTTGCTAGGACTGCTAATGGGTGGCTTAAACAAAAGAATTTTATTTTCTCACAAATTTTGGAGGAAAGAAGTCCAAGATCAAGGTGTTGGCAGAATTGATTCCTTCTGAGGACTTCTCCTTGTCTTGTAGATGGGCATCTGCTCCCTGTGTCCCCCCTCTGCGTGTGTCTGTGTGCTAATCTTTTTATTTAATTTTTTTTCTAGTTACAGTTGACACAATATGAGTTTCAGGTGTATCCAATCTGCTCATCTTATGAGTACACCAGTTACATTGGGCTAGGGCCCACCCATATGACATCATTTTAACTTAATTACTCCTTCTAAGAGCCTATCTCCAAATACAGTCACATTCAAATTAGTTTCAGCTGTACAACACAGCACAATAGTCATACTTCTTACCCCTCAAAGTGACAACCCCCCTCCCCCATCCCACTCCCCCCCATTTGATACATATCTATTACAATTCCCTTGACTCCGCTCCCACACTATACTCCAAGTCCCATGACCATATATACATATATTCACATATAGTTGACATACAATATTATACAACATCAGCTTCAGTTGTACAATGCAGTGATCAAGCCTATACCCCATCCATGAAACGGTCTCCCTAACAAGACATGAC